ATTATTTTTTTAACTTTGGAATAAAATCATCATCATCATAAAACAACTGTTTTATTTCACTCGTGTCAAAGAAGAAATGGAATATAGAAATATTTCTTAGATACCTAAAACATAAGTTTAATACTTTTAGACCCGAAAATATATTTAAATAAGTAGGTATACAGGTATACAACGTATAATGTACAGGTATACATTTAAGATATATTAAAAAAAAATCATAAAGCAATATTTTAGAAAAATAAACCAGTGAATAGTTCGATTTATCCACGAAATTATAACATTATACTCTTATAGTACCGTGACGAATTTTGACCTATCGGAGCTGTATTTAAAATCTCGTAACTGTATTTGGTAAATTTTCTAAGGGAAAAAAATAAGAATTTAAATTAATGTAAAAAGCTATAGAGATTTAATTCCTATAATTTTGTTATGTAGTACGAACATTATTATTCGTAATTAAATATATTTACTTTCAAATCTCACTTTGTATATAGAGCACAGAGAGTGGTGTTACTTGATTGCAAAGGCGGATCTACAGAGAGAGAATTCCCTCCCTCCCAAATTGTAAAATATAACTATTATTTTATGTTATTCTGATGGCCTTATTGATTTATTGAATTGATAATTATAGCCGAAATTCACAAATAAGTTCTTTAAGGTCGGATCCATTAAAAATGCACTTCAAAAACATTAATAGTCCAATTTTGCAAGACAAGGATTTCTGTTCAAAGTAGAGCGGTAAATGAAAGTTGTGATGCGTTCACCAGATTTTTTTTAATTTTTGTACAAATGCAGTTTGAATAAATCCTTTCTGACGAACATTTAATGAAATAAACAGAGAAAAAAAGTTTGATATTATCATCGAGACTATTAACTAACAATGTCAGCTGACTGCCTAGTTTTAGTTCCCGTGCCACAGGACTAATGCTACGTCCAGCAACAGGTGTTCTCGTGAGGACTCCGGAAGTCATCAGATTTACCATGCAGGTGTCCCAACGTAAAAAGCACATCCTCCTCTTCACCGCTAGACCTGATGATCCTGTCCAGAGGATGCCGTATAATTGTCGTCCCGAACTGTAGCGTCGCCTTCCAACCGTTACCGTAGAGATCAATGGAATCAAAATGTAGCAGAGTGGTAGATTATGGATAATTTTTTGTTCGTACTTTTAATTATAGATATGTCTCCACAAATTGCTAAAATGGCAGGATTATTTTTGACTTGGATAGAACTTCAGCGACATAAGATCTGTAAATATCATGTTTAGTGGGATTCATTATTAAACCAAACAAAGGTTTGACGCCATAGTAAGTAAGCTGTCTTCATTGGTTTTTAAAAAAATCCAGACAAAGTTTGATATATTTTGGTTAAACCACCTTTTGGACACAAGAGTGTTTAATGAGATAAACGATATTCCATACACACAATAATAAAAATATTTTATATCAGGCGTGCCCATTCCTTCAAGGTAGATTTTTATTAGTCTTGCCTAAAATCAGTCTTGGTATTGCACTTTGCAAGACCAAGAGCAAGACTCCCTTACTGTTGCAAGACCAAGACCAATAATGGTAAAAAAAATCGTTTTATGAATACACATTAAGACAAAATATTTGACAATTATAAGTCTCTATGTGTAAAGAATTGGTATAAACAAAATACATTTGCATTTAACTCTTCAAATTATTCATTTGCACTTAGTCAGGTTTTACCAACTTGAAAAATTACAGTAATATCTAATATGTAATTGCAAGACCAAGATCAAAACTGAATGCCCAAAACCAAGACTCGTCTTGGTCTCGCATTCGGGCAACACTAATTTTTATGTATCTTTTTATAATGTTTATTTGTATTATTCAATATTTAACAATCTATTATTTTTCTTTAATCACTGATTTTTTATTTTTTTATTATAATACCTACTTATAGATCCATCCTTTTTTGGAAAATTTATTATTTCAAGAAAACTCAATTAATTAATAATTAATAAACAGGACTCTTTTTTGTTCTCCTCAAAAGATATTGAACAATAAAACATGCGACAGAAAAACGTTTATTATGTTACATCACATTTTTGTTCATTTGTAACTTTTCGGCCTTATTTTGACCATTTTCAAACATATCATTGTTATATAATTTTTACCAACTTAATATACAATTTAATTTTTGGTCTTATGTTTAAGAATACGTCAGTGTTTTATACAGGCAAAAATATCGTTTTTGTCGGTCACTTTTTGGTTGCATTTTTATTATATGAAACAAACAATTAATAAAATATTGATTAATTTTATTAATATTAATTCTTTTTTTTTACTAAATACTTACAAAAATTAAATAACATACAAACAATTTTCAATTAAAAACAGAATATACATTTTACATCAATTAGGTAAAATTTATTTCTTTTGCTAAAAATGTATTGAATAATTGGTATATATGTTTTTAGGATATAAAAACCTGTTCTATTTATTAATTATTGATTATTCAATTTTTTTCAAACTTTTTTAGTATAACAATTTTATATCATATAATTTTAATACAGGAACGTCAGGTTACATGGGAAAGGTGATAACCACAAAATTTTATTCTATTATTTTATTATATTTAAAATATAAAAAGTATTAAATTTTGCTTTTGTTTTTCATTTATGTGACTTTTATTTAGTGTTTAATTTATTTGAATTTTATAAATTGCACAGCAAATTAATAATAATTAGTAATAAATTAAGCATTATATATTATTTGTATGCATATAAATACTTGAAATTCAGGCTTCATTTTTAAGGTTATTATCGAAGAAAAAAAAAAAGCATTACTCTAGATATAACTGATGATGAAGTTTACTTATTTATTTGTAAATTAGTTAACACTACTTTAAACATGTTTAATTAAGAAAAAATGTTTAATGTCAAAATAAATTTTGTTTTTTATATCTATTGATGGAACGTAAAATATTGTATTTTCTATTATTTAAAATTACGATATTTTTTAATATGAAAAAATAAAGTAATCGGATCATTTTACACCGTTAAAATATTTTCTGGAAAGTTATAATTAATTGCATATAATTCAAAATGAATTCGTCTTACCAAATTTCTAAATGTACTACAATGTTCTAGAAGAGATAGGCAATTGAGAAATATATACCCTCTGAACCTTATCGGCTTTTGAATATTTTGGTTTAAATACATTTATATTCAACATGTTATTTGTTCGAATTAGAATTAGTTCCCCTTTGGACTCCTTTAATATTAATTTAGTCAACATCCCTGATCCTACAGAATTTTACTTTCTGTCTTAACAGTCCATATTTATAACGCGAAATGTATATATTTATGCCTCATGTTTTTACCAATATAGGAATTAATGCTTTATTGAACTTTGTATAGAAATCGATAGATAAGTTCTTTATTTAATATTTAAACTAATTTGAGAAAACATTCTCATAAATGCTCACGTTTTATAATAGTGTTAATGTCCCGAAATTCCGAAACTATTGCTAAAATTAAAATTATTAATTTAGTTTCTTCTAATTAATCATTTTAAGAAGTATGAATTTTTTCTTAAGAATGATTAAAAAAAACAAAGAGGTCATGTCATACGTATTCGAAATCATATACTTTATAAAAATGCATACATGCACACAATCCTGTTTTTAATGCCAGGATTTTTTTTTTAAATATTGAATAATAAGCTAATAAATCAATAGCAAGATAAATAAATATTTATTGGGCTAACAAGAAGAAAACAAGTACATAGCACATAAGAAAGTTTTTTTCCTAGAATAATTTAGAAAAATAGGTCAAAACTAAAAACTGGAAAATTATGTTCACTATAAGCCAAATAATAACGACATTTATGTGAATGAATTAAATTACAATGGTATTTTAATTCATAATAGCAATACTAATCAAATTAAATTATTTGACATAATAAGAAACATAGTCAAAATAAATTAGAGTAATATAACGAACATCCTCTCTTTTAAGGTATAAAAAAAAAGACTTATAGAATAAGAAGATAATTTAGGAAAAAAGTTCAAAACTGGAAACTGGTAAATTTATAATTTTATTATAATTATTATTATTGAATGGGAACTAAATGGGATATATATGTAAACTAATTGAAAATCTTAAAATTATTTTCAGCTTGACAAAGGTAAAAATGAAAAGTGCTCATAATTGTCGTGCTTTATATTAATTTCTGTAAATTTTTATCTTTATATATTATTTCTTTTTTTTTTTTTTTAAACTTTTATTATGATATTTACAACTGTATTAGTATCAATACATCAAGTAAATTATATTATTTCTAAAAGATGTTTTTGGAGGTATCTTTTTTAATCTAATTTATTGATCGAGTTATCATTTTGAATATTATGATCCCATAGCGAAAAATAGGGACATCTTCCCAAAATTTTCAGATAAAAAATATGAAGTAAAATTAAACTTGATTTGCTAAAATGCTCCAAAATTACGCAACATCCACCATAATTAAAAAAGTTTACAAAATCTATACGAAATGAAAAAATTTCGAAATGATCGTCTCGTAATTTTTCATACAATTTCCGATTGTCAGTGGTAAAAAGCTTCATCATTTCATGTTTATTAACTTTAAAAAGATACAATTACTACTGAGAATAGGGTGATATGTAAAAGTTGTGTTGGAACGCACTATTTTTTTTGTAAATTTATATACTTTTATTTAATTTAAAATATTGAATTATTGAGTAAATAAAAATATTAGCTGCGTGGAATAAGGGTGGTGATGATTTTAAATATTACTTAATAATGAATCAAAAATTAATTACTTATTTCAGTTCATAGATAAATAGACCTTTTTATTTTATTTTTATTGGCGGATTTAACGTTATTTTAGTAAGGATACATTATTCTTCTTTCGAAAAAAGAAACGAATAGTTAATGCTTAAATTGATAAAACTGGATAAACGCATAAATTTGCCACCGAGTAGCGCTAGAATATCCTCGTATCATGTTTAGTATGCATCGAGTCGTTCCGGCGTGCGCAACTGACTTTTGAGTCCAAACAATTTTTTAAGTGTCCTGCACAAAACTTACAAGACTTATTGCCGCTCGTAATAAGCAATGCCGTTGGACACTGAGAGGTTTATCAAAGAGGTGGAAGCTCGGCCTTGCCTCTGGAACAACCACTCCCCGGAGTACGAGAGGAAGGGCCTGAAGACACGAGGATGGAAGGAGCTCTGCGACATCTTCGTCACCAACTACCCGGCCATGGACTCTGCGGGCAAGAACAGAGAGGGTATGCATTAGAGATATATGTATTTCCGTTGAAAACTCAGACTCGAACATTTTCACGATCGCAATACTTGAAAGTGAAAATGCTTACCGAGGTTGGAAATGAGTCTACGAAAATAACAGTCAGAAGGTACCTAGTATCACCAAAAAAAGTTTGATTGAAATCGGTGTCCCCCCGTCAGTAAAGTCCCTTTGTAAGTTAAAGATTTAATAAGAAAGAAATTTAAATAATAAATATATCAACCATGCTGCAAAAACTAGTAGGTACCATTTTATTATAAAGTTTTGGAGCATATCTGGTTACTCACATCCAGCACTAGCGGATTCAGGATTTAATTTTGGGGGGAAGGCTTCAGCGCGAAAGATTTTTTTTTCATATATATATATATATATATATATATATATATATATTATTGTTTTTTTTATATAAAGACATGGGCACCTTTCAAGATATCAAACAGCGATACGGAAGTGATCTTGCCAAAAATGTAAAAATATATTCAAAATTGCTTAAAAGGCTTTCGCATTTGGAACCACAAAGGGTATTTCTTCTAAAAAGAAGAAAATATAATCTGTTTCCACCACACATCATATTTATCTATCATAATTATTTCCAGCACTAAGAATATTTTTCACCTTATTCCTAAAAGTTAAATAAAAAGTATTTCATGACCTATTATCCGATTATTATTCATGTCTTAAGTTATAATATATAAAGGTCGAATTATAAAAAAAAACATTGTAATATATATATATATATATATATATATATATATATATATATATATATATATATATATATAGAGAGAGAGAGAGAGAAAAATATTAAAAACTATGTCTTAAAGTATTATTGTTCGTGTAATTACATTTAATAGGAATTCAAGAATTACTCAAACACCATTTCATATAGGTACTTCATTTCTTTGTTACATATATATATATATATATATATATATATATATATATATATATATATATATATATATATATATATATATATATATATATAACAATATATAACGATAATTAATTTTTTTAAAAAGGAAGAAAGAAATGAACTACCTATATGAAATGGTGTTTGAGTGATTCTTGAAGTCCTATTAAATGTAATTACACGAACAATAATACTTTAAAACATAGTTTTTAATATTTATTTTTCTATAAAACGTGGTTATATTTTACAGTTTTGGGGGGGGGGGACTTCACCTGTGAGATCCAGTAACACTCCTGACAAATTGGGATCGCTCATTTTACGAGATCGAGTAAAATGAATAAAGTAGGAACAATATGGACTACAAAATAATGTTCAAATTATAATTATAATTAATTAAAATGAAAACGAATTAAAATACTCACCACATTATGCAGATCTTCTAACATTTAATTCTCTACAGTTACACTTAGTATTGAAAACACTCATGTGCTGTTAACTGAAAGCAAAGCGTCTACTCTTTACTTTTAGGATAGTAATAAAACCAGCTAACTGTGACGTTGCATAAATTTTGAAAATTACCCTAATTTTTTCCAATGGGTCAAAAATCGTGAGAGAAATGTTATAACTTATTAACTATACAAATAAAAAATCATTATTATTATATGGTTACTTTATATGGTTTGATTTTTTTTTTTATAAAATATTTAGCTTTCTAAAGTATATAATACATCAATATTATCATTCTTTCTCATAGTTCATATTTTTCAATATTGCATACTATGAAATGATTAATTATATCAAATAATCAAAATTTAAATTACTTCGGAAGAAATGTTTTTTGAAAATTCGGCATTTAGATCCTGTCAGATGAGGATAAAACCTAATTTATGTTAAAAACGGTTTAATATTACATTTATATAAGGAGTATATTTAATATCGTTTAAAGAAAATATTTAAAAAAGTGTAAAATGAATGATATAATTTGACGCTCCTGTTTAGCCGGTCATAGCGAACAAGTTGCTGTAATATCCCTGACAGAAGATACTTAAATATATTGTTTTTTGTTTCGTATAACCCTTCATTTTTTAGAAATATACACAGAGGTGAAGGGAAACACAAAACATTTATGGATTTTTCCAGACCACTGCGTGGTGATTTGGACTCAGGATGATTTAAAATGTGTAATCTTCTTGAAAAGTCGGATTCGAAATTTTCCACTATCGCAAAGCATTATAATATATTTATAATATATATTTATAATATCACTGGTAGTTATGTGAAAATAAAAAGCGATGCGGAATTCGGTCAGGTCTTTTTCAACCTCATTTTAATTCTCTACAGTTAAACTTGGTATCGAAAACACACATGTATTGTTAACTGGAAGCAAAGCATCTACTATTTACTTTTAGGATAGTAATAAAACGTAATAAACTAAATTTAACTGTTAAGGAATATTTTGCATTAACCTATTTTAATAGTAATTATCATGACATCTCATTACAATATTAATACTTAAATAAAAGTATTTATTTATTCTGAAAACGTGAAAATTGTTATAACCAGGTTAAAGACAGAGAAAAGTTTAAACAAAAATATTTATTTTTTATATTTAAATATTAGAAAATTTTTATATAAAGCTAATTTGTTACAATTACTTTTCCTTTATCTACAGAATTCAAAATAATATCCAAAGGAAAAAGAAAATGTAAAAATAAACCGAATCATAGCGAAGTGTGACGTTAATTTTGAATAAACTTTGAAAATAAACCTACTTTTTTTCCATGGTTCAAAAATAGTGAGAGAAATGTTATAAATTATTAACTATACAAATTAAAAATCATTATCGTTAGTCATTCTCCATTACCTTCCACGGCTTTATATGGTTTGATATTATTTTTATAAAATATTCTAAAGTATATAATACTTGCGAAAATATTTCTCTTATATTTAATTAATTAATTCTTAAATAGTTCTAGCTTTTTTAATGTGGAACTCATGCATATTCAAAAATAGCATCCAAAATATTATTTAAAACACTAAATCTTTATAGTCCGATGTACAGAACCCTTTTCATCAAATTATTAACATCCGGCTGAAAGTTCGTAAATAGCACCATCTCATCGTAACCTAAAAATATTTTATTTACGAAAACTCTTGTAATTGGAGCTTTTTCAATTTGAAGATCGGCAAACTTTGTCTATTTAATTAGGTAATAACTTGTAAACACTCATTTACTTTTCACTTGGATCGTAAGATAAATTGATCATAAAATCGATAAAAAACATATCCTACAAAAACATTGGGTCGTTTGTCGTATATAACCTCGTTATTTTTATTTTTATTACCAAACGGTTCAATATTGTTGAAGGCTAACTTTTTTCTCTTTTTTGTGTTCTTTTCAGGTGGAAAGCAAATGGGTATTTACGAGTTTTTGGTACCTAATTAAATATACAAAGTTTGCCGACCTCCAGATTGAAAATGTCCCAATTCCGAGAATTTTCGTAAATAAAATAATTGTACGTTACGATGAGATGAAGTAATTTACGAGTTTCAGAAGAATGTTAATAATTTAATATAAAGGGGTCTGTACCATGGACTACTTTTTTAACTTTTTGCTTATTTTGTGATATTTTTGATCTTTATGGCCTAAAAATATAAAATTTATTTTATTGCATATGGAATAACAAAAAGATTAAATATTCCATGTTAAGTATTTTAGTTACGAAAATTCTTGGATTTGTGGCGTTTTCAATCTTGAGGTCAGCAAACTTTGTCTATTTAATAATGTACTAAAAACTCGTAAATACCCAATTGCTTTCCACTTTAATCGTAATATATCTTGAGCACGAAGTCGAGAAAATAGTGGCCTTCAAAAATATTGAGCCGTTAGGCCTATTTAACCTCGTTATTTTGAAAATTTAGAGATGTAGGTCACGTTACACGGCTCAATAATTTTGAAGGCCACCTTTTTTCTCGACTTTGTACTCAAGTTATCTTCCGATTAAAGTGGGAAACAAATGGGTATTTATAAGTTTAAGTACATAATTAAATGGATAAAGTTTGCCGTTCTCCAGATTGAAAACGTCCCAATTCCAAAAAATTTCGTAAATAAAATATTTCCAGGTTACGATGAGATGAAACTATTTACGAAGTTTCAGCCGGATGCTAATAATTTGATAAAAAGGGGTCTGTACGACGGAATACTAATATAATTTGATAAAAAGGGGTCTGTACGACGGAATATTTATGATTGATATTAAATACTTAATGGTTTTATATTTCAGAGGAAGGAAATTTATCCGGGGTGGTGCTCATATTGAGACTAAAATAGTGGAAAAGCTATTTCTTTTATTGTTTACTAGCTGTACCCACCCACACGTTGTTGTGGCTTATTCTGGTAAAATAAAAAAATATGTAGAAAATAAATCAGATGTTTCTAATACATTTTATGTAACAATAATTTGTGAATATGCGATAATATTTGTTGTTCCATTCTTTGTATAGATACAGAGATTGTCTGGTTTTCCAACACTAGAATTCGCTTCATATAATTGTCTATATAAGAAACAATCGGTCTCTAAATCTCCCAACAAAAATTACTAAATGTTTAAATCATTATATCTCCGCACCAAATCGCCCTATTTTAGTGATTTTTTTTTGTTGATTTTTTTATTTTATTTTTATTTGCAGGGAATCAAGAAAGCTTTCAAATGATTATGGGTAAAAACAAACTAAAAATTGTGTATTTTTTGAATTATTCGCAAATATAGCTCTGAACCGATCGTAAGTTCTTTTTCATACTCTTTTCGGAAACGAATGTTATATACATAAATTAAAATGGTTTCAAGGAGAAGACTTTAGTTAAGTTAAATTAAAATCATTACAGCCGTTTAGGCGCTACAGACTATAGCGAAAGGTTTTTCCGCCGGCTTTCCGAAACGAAAGAACGGAAGAGGGTAATTAAATGTATATAAAAACACTCCTGAATACGATAGAAACATTATGTAAATATTTCAAGCAATAGGTAAAGAAGTTTCGGAGATTAGCAATTTTTAACAAACGAACATTTACGTTTTTATTAATATAGATTTATTTATTTTTTTTATTTTTATTTTTCTTCACATTCCTTTTTGTCCATTATTTCATAAGGCAAGCGCCTTAGCCCGTACGGCTACCCCAGCCCCCATATACAATATATATATGTATTGCAGTAATCTATACAGTGAAATATTAAATAATACTAATACTAGCACTTACGAAAAACGCACATTTTTTACAGCTCTTCTTACTTTCCTACCTACACTAGGTAAGCAAAGTATTGCAATCGGGTCAAATTTCCAATATGCAGTTTTCGACGGATCTATACATTTCACAGCCCCCTGAGTCCGAAAAACACATTTTCAGTCATTGGTCTGTGTGTCTGTGTCAAGATTTTCTCGAGAATTGTTGAACCGATTTTGTTGCTTCTTTTTTTTTTAATTTTGTAGGGTTCTGACTACTGATGCCTGTGACAGAAATTCGGTGCTCCATGCGCAATAGCTTGCGCGCATTAAATGAAAAACATGTTTTTCTATAGACTGTAGCGCGAAAACGGCTCTAACGATTTTGATGAAACTTTCCTATAATGTTCTAATAATTGTCTTTTCAATTTTCGTATATGGACTAAATTCCCGAGAAAATTTAGGAAAAAATGTTATAAAGAAAATTAAAATGTTATTGGGTCTAACTCTGTAAGTATCTATTATACGGTAAAATTTATAATAAAAACTTTTGAAAGGTAATTAAATTACCAACAAAACAAATGAAAAATCATCGGAATCGAACCAGTATTAGCGATGATACAGCTTAATCTATTTTTTACACATGTTTTAACTTATTACATTCCTACCTATACTATGTAAAAAAATTATTGCAATCGGATCAATTTTTCGATATGTTTTTGACGGATCTATACGTTTCAGAGCCCCCTGAGTCCGAAACTATTAACGAAGTTACTGCTATTCAATTTCCAATGTAAGATGACATATCCTGGTGTCAGAAAGGGGCGAATGAGGGAAAAAATATGACAAAGTGATGTAAGAAAATCTGTTGCCTGCATCACACAGGCTTCACTATTTCCTCTACTTTAAACAAAAATTATTGTTTGACAATAATAAACTATGGCAAAAAGTTTTTGATCAGCAATATTAGAGAGTATTGAAATTTTTATACTGATCTACCTTAAGCCGGTTTACATTGCTTTAGTTTATCAAATAAATCGTACTCAAATCTTCTCTTTGATCAATTTTCAGGAAAATAAATCTAGTTCAATATTTTTTTGTTTCTTCATGACCATATGTAAAGATATAAAAACTTTTCTGAAATAGGTAGAAAGTGATGTGAGTGGACACACCAGATTTTTGTTTTTAAATATTTTCAAGTATCATAAGTAATAAAAAAAAATACATATAACAAAACAAACATTTTAATAAATTATATTTTATTTTTTATATAAATTAGGCCACTATTCACTAACATTTTATTTATTAGCTATTTTATTACGACATCGTTTCGACCATCACTAGAGCCATTCCAAAGTCTGGAAAAAAATTTTAATGTCATTGTTTGTTTACATTTACATTTACAAAACAAAATTTATTTTTTTTATTTATTTTCATATGGTTTTTTGTTTGGTTTTTATATAATTACCGCCCGTTTTTTATTTATTTTTTTTCAGTTGTAAATCTTCAGAGAAAGTGGAAGAGCTTGAGGAACTCCTTCAATAGAGAGCTCAAAGCGAGGCGAATGGGAGGCGAGGGGTCCTCGAGGAGACCTTGTCAGTACTTCGAGCAGCTCTCCTTCCTGAGGCCGATCCTCGAGGCCAGGATGCGCAACATTCCCGAACAGCCCGCGGTGGAGCCCTCGCCAGGCACATCAAGGACACGAGAAGAAGAAGTATCGGAGCAAGAGGTGCCTGTACATGGGGTCCCCTGTAAGAGGAGGAGGCTGTGTAGTCCAGCACTCGAACCTTCCGATCACCTTCACAACGCCAATTATTGCAATGGCACGGACTGTAACGAGGTACTTTTCTTCCATTCCTTGCTCCCATATTTCAGGAGACTAACTCCTACAAATAAATTGAATTTAAAATTAGCTTTCATGAATCTAATAAAAAGATATTCCAAGAGAAAGATCAGAGCACCCATTGTAAACGAGGAAGAAGGATCTTCGAGGACTACCCCCGCTATAATAAATGGGACCTCTACACCTGTGACCTCTCCATCCGGATCCTCTCCCCCGGACTCCTCTCCACCCGGATCCTCTCCAACTGGGTCACCGCCGGGCGATCAAGGCGCTCTAGGAGAGGAACTAGAAGTAGAAGAAGAAGAGGAAGAAGACGTAGATCCGGAAGAGGAAGAGGAAGATGATTCATCGAACTATTCATCGGATACTTCACCCGGGCTGTCAGCTGGATACACCGATGATTCTCCTGAGACAGAAGATTGACCACCGAAAGATGTGGCAATAAAGTTGTCTAGGAAGTGGGCGGAATCAAAAAAAAATTTTAAAAATATGACTTCATTTCTATATTTTCCCTTGATTTCTAACAACTCCATGTCATCATATCACCATGTCTCCATTTCATCCCACTTATCTTCCTTTCTTTTTTTGTATGTGTATATGCATACATACATACGCACACATATATACATATACAGGGTGCCCCGCAAGTAGAGGAAAATATTTAAAAGTTTCATAGTAGACATCATGATCTACAAAAATTTCATATAAACAATTGCCTAATTTCCAGTAGAAAAATAGGAAATATAAGAATTGTTTTTTTTTTTAAGCGAGTCACTTTTTTTTTTTAATAGGAAGCGATAACATAAAACATATTTTATTTAAGTAACTGAATATAGCTCCATACACAAAATTTACTTTAAAAGAAAGTAAAGTTTGTCATTGTTAAAACTATTTAAAAATTGTTAGTGGGCCGACAAATACAGCTATGTTATGTTTAATAAAAGTCATAAATTATTTCTGAACTTACTCGTTTAATATGCTTCAAGTCCATATAAATTAAGTTTAGGTTTATTAGGAAAAAGTTTGCGATTCATCTCGTGTTTTCAGAAAAAATTACTACAATTATTTGTTATTTATTTATTTATTGTTTTTTCGCCATATGGAGTGTATTGTAATAAATATAATTGCCTAAAAATACATTTTATGTATAAAAACAAAAAATAATGATTTTTTTGTAAGATAGAATGATTGAAGCAATCGGTAGGTTTCTTTCTTTTAAACGTAAATTTTGAACGTAAATAACCACTTCACGTGGTTCGAAAAAATCTTTGTTATTAAATATTTTATATTTATAAATAAAATATGTTTTTAGGCCATTATTGTTATTACAGCATACATTAAAGTGAATGTATAGGAAATCACATAATTTCTTTACACAAGTGAATCTCAAAATGTTTACTATTAAAGCTCAACTTAATTAATATGGACTTACAACTTATTAAACGAGGAAGTTTTTGTTAAAGTGGAGTAAATTCAGTGGAGTTAAAGAGTGATAAAAAAAAAAATTATAAATAATTTATAACTTTTTTTTTAAATGTAACTAGGTAACCCCTCAAAGGTTCTCTTTAAATAGTTTTAACTATGACGAACTCTACTTTCCTTTAAAGTAAATTTTGTCTAGTTTACTATGGAGCAATTTTTTATTACTAATTTCAAATATTGTTTATATTATCGCTTCCTAATTAACAAAAAATGTGACTCGCTTAAAAAATCACAAATCTTAAATTTCCTAATTTTCTTCAGGAAATTGTGCAATTGTTTATATGGTTTTTTTTTGGTAGATCTTGATGTCTACTATCAGCCTTTTAAATATCTCACTCTACTTACGGGTCACCCTGAATATATATATATATATATATATATATATATATATATATATATATATATATATATATGTGTGTACATGTACATGTGTGTTTGTGTGTGTGTATGTATATGTATATATATAGATATACAAAAATATAAGGGAGATAAGTGGAATGACATGGAGACATCTACTTCCGGGACAGCTTGTGTATATATGTATAATAACAATATGTTTATTTATTTAGGTATAAGTTCCTTTTGAACATTATAAAAGAACAAAATTATAGGTTTAAGAGCTTTAGAGTAATAATAAAAAATAGCAAAAAAAGAAATAAAAAATAGAAATCATACCGTAACCTCTAATAATAACAAATAGAATAAAGGATGGTACCAACATAAAAAGATTTAAAAAAAAAACAGTAATTAATGTACATATTTAAAAACCTATTTATTTGTAATTTCAGGAAACTGAATGGACATAATTTTATATATATATAACTTTTTTATCTTTTTTATGTATATATGTATATATATATTTTATACTGGCTATATCAAGAACTTTTTCAGATCCAGGTAAATAATATGTAAGCAAAGTAAAATATGGTTTCTGTAAATATATAAATAACATGTTGAATACCAAAATTGCATTCTGGATGGACATACTTAAACATATATAGTTTTTTTGTGTCTAATACAAATAATCATAATAAGCAAAAGTTGTTCATTAATTACTAATTGTTCTAGTTAAACAAAATTAATTTTTCTATCTAATTATTAAGTTTTGAACTAGAATCAATAGAATAAGGCATAGTTTTTAGACATAAATACAAATGAAGATAAAATTTCGGAAAGTAGACGAGCAATCTCTTATCTAATCATTCTGCGTTCTGATTTTATTATATCAAAATCTTCATCAATATTGTTACCATCTATTTGTGTATATGAGTGTGAATCGATAAACAATAACTATAAAACAAAACATGAATGGAATTTCATCATGTTGATTTCAGGCGGATCTACGGGAGGGGAGGAGAGGAAGCTTTCGGGCTAAAATGGTAAACTACAACCATGTTTTACAGAAAAAAAGTATTAAAAACTATCTCTTAAAGTATTCTTAAATATTTAATAGCTGGCCGTTGCATTACAAAGGAAGGAGATGGTCCGGCGTGGCGGTCATAAATAGGCTAAATAGTGGTAAAACTATTTTATTAAAAGCCGACGTTTCGACCCGACTTTGCATGTCTTCTTCAGGGCTAGAACGGACAAGATACAAAAAATATAGATAATTGTGGAAGTTACATAATATTTAGAAAAAAAAAATATAAACAATGTGAATAACCTTATTAAAATTATAAACAGTAAGTACATTAAAATATAAACAGAGTAAGCTAAGTAACAAGATCCTAAACTGAAGTAAATAGATGGTAACAATTGTTATAGTGTAATATATAATATATGCAAATATACTTCTACAGACCTACCGGAGAGATTGAAAAAGAAGGAAAAATGATATAATATGAATTAATAGACATATAGGAATGTGGAGAAAAAAAAGAAAACCAAAAATAAATAAATAAGTATATAAAATAAAAATAGAAACTTACAGGTGTGTTCAGCTAGGAGTTTCACTTAGAACTGGAAAATAAGGGTAAGTGTAGGTATTGGGGAATTTCGTTGATCTGAATTTATTGAATCTGAAGATTTGGATTCATACATGGGAAAAATACTATATCTATGAAATAATAAATTATAAATATATACACATATATATATATATATATATATATATATATATATAATAGAATTAAGAAATTATAGATAAGAGTACAATGTGAATAAAAACAAAAATGGAAGAGGTAACATAGAAGTAAAATATAAATATAGAAATGAGAGGCCGTACATTGCAGAACTACTTAAGAAGTATAGATAGAGAAAAAAAAAAAGAAAATATGAATAATTATAATTATATTTAGTTGTACATAGGTAAGAAAATTACATTTAAAAATTACATAATATTAAGACGTGGTTAAAAAGTAACTTGAATACAATTAGATTGATGTAGAGATGTCGGGTCGAAACGTCGGCTTTTAATAAAATAGTTTTGCCACTATTTAGCCTATTTATGACCGCCACTCCGTACCATCTCCTTCCTTCAAAAGTATTCTTGTTCGTGTAATTACATTTAATTTGGATTTCAAGAACCACTTAAACATCATTACATATAGGTAGTTAATTTATTTCTTTATTTCATTTTACATTAATTATCGTTACATATATATATATGTATATACATATATATGAAAAAAAAAAGCTTTCGGGCTGAAGCCCCCCCCCCCTCAAAAATTAAATCCTGAATCCGCTAGAGATGATGAAGTAGAAAGAGAACTTGAATTCTATGAATAAACTATGGCAGAGCGATAGGTAAGTGTATATTTATAATTTTTATAATAATGGAAGCTTGTTTGGCCTTAGAAATATGGAATAATTACAGAAATAGCCGTGGCGTGAGTTGTGGTCGCCAGGAGCGAGATTTTCTCAGGCGAATTTTTAAATTTTTTGGTCGATCGCAATGGTTCATTATTGAAAATAATAAACCAAAAATACATTAAAATCACGATATCTCTACTAATAGTGCTTTTATTTCGATGAAACTTCCTTCATTTTTCAGGAAATTTAAATAGCTTTAAAACATCTTATGACAACATTCACAGAAAAGTGTATACGTTTTGAGTTATTCGTAATTTAATTTTACAATCTGTCATAACTGTTTTTTCCAGTTTCTTTTCGTTGAAGTATGTTATATAGATAAATTTAAAGGGCATTGAGAAAATTACTTTAGCGAAGATTCATTGAAATCGGTACATTCGTTTAGGCGCTACCGTCTATAGCAACTCAGGTTTTTCGGCCGCCATTATGCAAATAAAAGGCGGATAGTAATGTCGATGAAGGAGGATTATCCTCGAGTGAGCTCTGACTTTATATCCAAATTTGAAAAAAAATCGGTTTAGTAGTTTCGGAGAAAATGCGCGGACGGCGGACGGACAAAAAAATTTTTATTCCTTTTTCGAATTGTACGTATCCTGAAACGTGAAACCTCAAATTTCGAGAGGAGTTAAGTTTTTGAATTTTTAGGTCGATCACAATGGTTCATTATTGAAAATAATAAACCAACAGTATATATTGAAATTGGTTTAAATATTTAACTTTGATCATTCAGAGTAACAAATAAGGACCAGTAAAAAAAATTTACAACTGTATTATAAAAAAATACAACCAGTAAATGTGCACACAGTAATAATACAATCACATGAAAACGCTTGTTGAGAAACTACCCATTGGTAGCACTCTAATAATATATTTACCTAAGTAGATCACGATGCCATCTTCTTTTCAGACGCCTCGCAGGATTATCAGGGATCTAGGAGGAAGCAAGGTTTGAAACGAGAGGGTGCGCATGGTTCTGGAGTTTGTTGTGGAAGGATAGGTATCTAGATTGGTCCAAATCGGAAACATATGGAACATTAAGGTCTTTATGGATGATTTTATTTGTGGCAGTAAAAAAAAAATAAAATCATTTTTTTCCATTTTGGGAGGCTTCATCCCTTGTCCAGTAGATCCACCAGTGTGTGTGAACATGTGCTTACTAAAAAACCATAAACTTGAGAAGTAGGAAAGTGTTAATCT